TGCTGGGGGCATGGAAAGCGTTTGAACTCCCTCCATTGAAAATCCCTTTGCATTATCCATTTCCTAGTTCGACTACGAATTGCTAATTTTCGGACAGTCGGTTGGCATAGACACTTGACGGTTGTAACAGCTGCCACCAATGTTGTGATGCTGTTAGTAAATTTTCTCCCAGATTGCAGGGGATTGCAGCCTATATCAGGGGAGGTTGTGGTGATCCAGGCCTACACAATAGCGCCTACCCTGGAGCGGCGCGTTACAGTTTCAGGACATTGGCGATCAATCAAGTTTGAACGCTGACGTCAATGACATGTGCATGGCTTCTGAATACACGTCATTCGTGGATGGTGCCAGCCAATCCAAGACAATGCAGGCAGAAGCAAGATTAAGCAAGCAGTACTGCAATCCGATTGGTGGAAGCCCAGATGGCCAATAATCTCCCTTTGCACATAGTATTTAGTCACCTCCATTTCTTCCAGTAAACGAACTACTTACTGCCAGTCCTGTGGCCTTTTCCTTGCGTCTCGTTCCCGTGGGACATTGCGAATCCGTGCCATTTTGGTCCAGTGCATCTGCGATACAGTCCGTGATAGCTGCTTATTGGTTCGGGTCCTATAATTCATATTGCGTGGTTGGTGTTCCAAATTCCGTGCGTAGTACTACTGTTAATAGAATCATTACAGGGATCCACTGGAATCCATGAGCCGGGTTGTTTAGTCCTGCATAGTCAGTTGTGCTGCGAAAGCGATCCGAAGTAGCTGTTATTACTGATGCATAGCAAACGTATTCGGACAATAATACAGCGTGATCACTGCGCCCGAACGGAGTTGCGATTGCAATTGATTCGACCATCAATTATTCATTTGTCAGTACCATATCCAAAGTTGACGAAATTTGGTTGATTCCAAACCTGGTGGGTTGCTTCACATGATTATACAACGGATATGACTGGATGAACTGCTTCAGCTGTCGTTCAAATGGCGTACACGATGTAGTCACGTTGCTCAGCTTTGGACAGTTGAAGTCATCCATAACAGGAACGTGGGTGAAATTCAATGACAGGGAGTAAGACATTGTTTGCAACAAAGTCTCATTTGATGAATCTGCTGACGAAGGAGGGCGATAAACTACACTGATCAGCCCGATATCATGTGTTAGCTTCAGTTTACACCATAACGTATCGGAAGCAGCAAACGGGCACTCAATTTGCTCGCATTGCAAGCTGCTATGATGGTAGAGCAGCACGCCCTCACCTCGCGTTGGACGATCACGCCTCAATAGCTCTATGGCTAGTAATCGCAGCTCGGAGTCCAAAATGTCAGTCGTCAACCAGGTTTTGGTTACGGCAGTGTGATCCCATCCGACAACGTAGTTCCACTTCTGGAAACTTACTGAAAAAAACCCTGAGCATTGGTATAGAAACAGTTCAGTCGTTGTCAGTGCAGAAATCCCTTGGAGGTTAGGGATGTAATTTAGCCGACCTTGTCGTCGGCCGGCAGACGTTTTGGGCCGTAGCTGTTGGTTGGATTTGGTCTGATGGGGTCGGAGTGGAGCATGAAGTTTGCAGTGTTTCGACTGGGTAAAGNACTGAACCATCGGATCACTCTAGCCTACGCATTTCAGGTCATCTGCAACGTAACAAGCACATTGTTATTGGAAATTGCCAAGGCTCTTGACGTTTCTACATGCAAACCCGATCTATGCAAACAGTGGAAATGGTTAGTGGCGCTGGCTTTACCTTGCTGTTTAATACCCACCCTCTTTCGCGTTTTCGTGTTGTCCTTTGTAATTAGTAAGCTTGTCTTCGTCGTACTATTGTTATTTGATCAACCATAAAACCACTTTTACTTTATTATACACGTGTACAGATGCAGTGAAATGGCCATGAACACTTGTAGAATGATTTATTGTACAGTGAAATCCGGATAATATGAGGCGTTTTTAGGATATCACGTTTCTTCTACAATCTGACTGTATTTTCAAACTTTCATGGTAATACCAAAGTACTGAGGTATTTGTTTTACACGATTACCATATACTGTATCTTTGCGCTCGAGATCTTTCACTTTTCACTTTTGATCCGTTATTGCACTCTTTTGTTCTTGTTACCTCTGTGCTTTAACGCAACTTTTCTGTAGCGCGTACTGGTAAATTTCTTGTGCAACGGGACCTCTGATGCAACCACAAGTCTTCTGGTTTAGTTAGTAATAACTTGGTTATTCGTGAGTTACGGGACTCGTTGGGACACTTGTCACGACTGGCCACAGTCGACGTACTTGTTTGATGGTAAGTGATTTCAATTATTCAACCGCTCACTAAAAATGATAAAGGAGGACAGTTTTACACTTGAACCTTTATCTTTTATACTTTAATTACTGTGCATCTAGGTACCTGTCCCAAGCAAACTTGTCGTAAACTCTGATGCAAAGGTCGTATAGTGGGACATCGAGATCAATGTAACCAATGTTTTCAGTCAGTGAGTGATATGTCTGACTGTCGTAAACAGTAGCGATCGTTTGACTCCTGAATTTATTTGCAACCTTAGTCTACCGGAGTTTTCCATTTTCTCTACGTGACTGGTTTCAACTTTTCAGTCTTCCTTCTCCCAGTTCATTAAAATTTGCAACCAAAACAACCACACGTAGGTGGATGGTTAATGGTTGTTCAACTAAGCGGAACTGGATAGTTCACCAACTAGCAATCCGTAATGATGATCGTACAACTGTAATGCGATGTTTTGAAATTTTTTTACATGATCCCAAAAATCTGCCGGACGGTCAAAGTGTAAAATGGTGAGCGAAATACTCTGTCAAGCTAAGAAAGAAATAACTGATTGATTAACACAATATTACTTAAAGGTATGAATCTAGGATGATGCATTTTGTGCATGCGCATCATCCAATTCGTCATTGGCCTCGATGGGAGTACTGGATTGCAACGTCAAGATATTCAATTTATTTCAACTGGCACATAAATGAAAAAGCAAATTTTACCTAAGAGAAAACGCCTTTGAAGTACCTGACGGGATTAAATATGAAATCGTTTTTCGTCATATTGGGGTAAACCTGAATAAGAACACTGGAAAGGCTATCTAGATCTGACTGCATTAAAACTTCATTGGAAGAGATATGGTCCAAGTACTTGAAGAAAAAGCTGGTACATTTTTTAATATATCAGGGCTAAAAGAAATTAAAAGTGTACCGAAAAATTGATATGCCATTTGTCGTCAGTCAGCCCACCACACAGACACACCAAGGAACATCCGCTGACTTGTGATCCTTTCCGCGGAGTCATTTAATTGTAACACCAGCCTTGAGAAAGTTTACCCACGGTAACCGAAACGTCGGCGAATACAATGCTCCGCTGATACCGCTGTGTTATTGACACTATAAGGTTCACAATAAGAAAGTAGGTGTAGTTTGAGGATCACTGGAGTAAGTTGAAAAATGAAACGGTCGGTTAATAGCAAATCTTTGGAGTCGTTTATTACGAAATTAAAAATTTCCCGGTATCTGCATTGCGCTACTCATATTGTTGAAAAAAGGATTCTGTAATCCATAGCGTTTTTGTGTTTAGCTGGATGCCACAGATCTTCAAACTATCTTTCGAAATTGCTCTATCACTCCTGCAACTCCCAGTTAACCAATCGTCTCTCGTTTGGGTGTCCACAGCAGTAGACAACACTGAGTGTTTGGATTACCATTTTGCCATAAGCTGCTTCAATGTTGCCCGGGTCAATACAACACCCATACTAACATGGACCTCGTGTGGTTGGCCCTTCCAAGGCTTAGGCTGACTGTTTCCAAGAGTAAAAAGTAGATCCATGTGACTACTGATTTATCCCGTCTGTTGTTCATCACAATAATGTGTAACAAAAATAATGAATTACGCAAGAAAGTAACTTCCGCTTCTTTGGAATGATTACCTCATAGCTTCGCCCATCCCTGTTGTGTTGTCGTTCAATGGACCATTTTAGGTCTGTAATGACATGATTTCCTATTATCCCTTGTAGAATTTTGTGCCTAACACTGATTGCACTTGAATTTATACCGAAAAATAACAATTAAGTTATTCGTGGCGTCTATCATTAAAATTTTAATCGCGAATCTGGGATAGATTTGAGAAGTTGAATTAACTGTATGCGAGATTACCAGTGCAGCGAGTGAATTCCTCGCAAGCGGGAGGCTGGGATGAAAATCCTTATTCCGAATTACGCGAGAAGTGAACTACGATTGTACGCTATTGAATGAGACGAGATAAGTTTTGATAATTGAGGGACCATGGTTCGTTACATGATTTAAAAGTAACAACTGGTCCCTAATTTATCTGTCCCCGTCAGTCCCACAACATCCTTAGAGACGCTGACTCCTCCTTAACTTTTCATCACATCGTAAGCGCTAGTGACTGCTTTCACCTTTTCTGTAAACTGCATTTACACCTGCAAATTAAACACTAAGAAAGCGAAAGAAAGAAATGTAGACACTTCACCTATCTCATAAAGATTTCTACAAGATAAAACCAGAGAAAGTCATCCACCGTTCAAATCCGAACCTTATCAGAAAGCTTCAATTTTGTGATAAAAGTGTCTTATGTCTTTTAATGCATTCTTCGAGTTTATGGTTGAATGGAAGATCTCAGAAATGTGCATGAATTTGAAGTCTGAATGATGGTTAGTTTTAATCATGATCAATTATCCCACAAAACTACTCACAAGTAACTGTGAGTTCAATACGTATACCTGTGTTTCTTTATCATCTATCGAAAGTTACGCATAAAGGTTTAAACGTTTTTCTCCAAACTCTAGGGAGGATGGTTTGAACGTATTTCATGGATGAACCCTCGGCGATTTCAAGCCACTCGTGTTTTAAAACTTTTGTCTTTGAGCCACAGTTCAGATGTCAAATGACATTTATATTCAGCTGGCAATTGCCAAATCTTAAAGTTAGAATATCGGTCACTAGTTGTCATAACACACTAAGAAAAATGGCAAAGAAGAGCGAAACTGTGGGGAGCATCTGCAGATTGTTACGCAAAGCAAGCACCACCATGTATTCCATCATTACCTGTGCCAGTTCCGGACTGGCCACGTTCTCCTGTATCATCGGTGCTAATTGTTCGTCCAGCAAACTCGCCGCCTTCACAAACAAATCAGCTTTGCCAGCCATTGCCGCGATCTGCATTCCGATGATTAGCCGATTGGCAAGTTGTATGCGTGCTCGCTGTTCACGTGAGAATCGGGAAAAAGGAACTAACGAGTTAACTCTGATTACAATCTGTACACCTTCAAATACCTCTAAAAGTATACTGTGTCTAAAGTTAACCAATAAAGCAGATACCCACCGGTTCTGTCTAGATAGCACCAAAAGATAACATGTCATCTCCGCGCTCTAAAGTTACTTTGCTTTCTAGTCATGAACTGAAGTCATAAATACACCTGTTAAAATCAGAAAATATGCACTAAAATAGTTCAGGCTTGCCAAATCGAACATATATGCATTGTTTGCTTCCACAACCTCCGTGAAGGTGACTCATCTTTTGTCAGAAGATAGCTACATACTATAAACTAACTATTATCTTCTTTGCAAAAACGTTTCAGAATAAAATATTAGGTTTGCTCGTTAAAATAAGTGAACAAAGAAATCAACTCAAAAGGTATATTTATATATTTAATGCCGGCTTGCCGACAAACATGGTGCCAACTCCACAAATGGAACCATCTCATCTTATCTTAGTATGAATACCTAGTCAAACAGGACAGAATGTGATTGAAAACAACAGCAGTTATAAAATTATTTCAGCGCAACCAGTTACCAACCGAAATGACCATTACCTTTGCAAAATAATTAAGCGATTGAGAACTCGCTCACCTGTCCCTCGGCGGACATTTTATCATTGCAACTCAAGGTAAGTTTGTGAAGCGAAATGCTCGAATGTTTTGCATGGAGTATCACACACAAGGCCATTCGACTCTTGAGGATTTGCGTGTACCCGGGCGCTTCCATTATGCGCAGCCTAAGGAGAAAACGAGGAGCATGGTTTGCTTGCACCAGCACAATTCGCACGTACTTGTAAATGTTTAACGGCGTTAGTGGACTTGCATCCGGTCCATATTGGGGACGTACGGGAACACTTTCCATCACGAATCGAGACCACAGTACGTGGAATGCATTGTCCCCGATATTGACCATGTTTCGTTTGTAGGCGCTCTGGGAAGAGGTAGAACATGTACGCTAAACATATTTGTGTTTTTCATCTATTTTTGCTGCCAATTGTGAAAGTATCACCATATGAAATTGTGTCTTTCTTACAAAATGAGAAATTCATTCACTGATGACCGATCAAGTAGATTTGTAGCAATTTTCTATCCGATTATCAAGTCTGGATTGAGAAAAAACCTGTTCAATGTAGTCACTTTTTTCAAAGATTAGATTGTACTTTCATTCCTGTGGTAACATGGTGAAAATACTAATAATACGAAACACAATTCGATGGACAATGCAAATCATTTGCAGCTCGGGAAATCGATTTTAAGATAAACAGGCCTTGAGAATCATTCCAATGATTCCGTGCTAAGTGTTGTGAGTCAGATGCGTCCAACCTCAACCAACTCGACACTAGGACCGCTCATCTCAATGATTCCTCGAGGCTTGTTTGTTTCAAAATTGACTTCCCGAGCTGCAATTGAGGCTAGCATTTCCCAATTCACATCGGGACGTAAAGTATGAGAGTGACAAAACATTGCCGAATAGGCATTTCTGACGAGCGGCAAGGACTGCGGAACCGGTACAGTCATTCATAAACTACGAATGCGATAGATACACCTAATAACTGTATGAATAATACCGAATGCGATTTTGGGGATTTGTTTGGGTATTGAATGAATGCTGAAACGTCACGATAAAAAAATAGGCTTTATCAACATCGTCCATCGTGGTGAAATACCAACGATGCAACATGTAACTGACATACTAAGGCACACGGTTACGGAAGGGACATCGTTCTTCACAGTGAATCGATGGAAACTGACGCTTATGAACTACTATCTTCAGCATTTGTCCGTGCTCCACTCACAAACTTTGCTTTCCTAATATAATTAAAAACAAATTATTGCTTCAATTATCCGGTGGTGAAGGCCGGGATCACGTCGACGCCCCATGCTTTATTGATCATGCCCCAATGAATAATGTTCAAATTCACTACGTAAAATTTTGCATACACTTTCGAATACATTCACAGCGCAATATTGCTTTTCTAAACTACATCTGCTGAAGAGGTCAACAATTTTATTGCATCCATCCAGAAATCGTTGCCCCACCGTCAATACCACAAACTACTGGCAACCGTTTTGACGGGGAAATGGTGATCCAAAGCCTAACTACTGATTATGCTCCTAAAAAGATTATTGTAGGAAGAAATAAATAAGCTTACAGCGTCATGAATGCGCACGGAGCAAGAAGATGAGCTTCATTAGGGTTTTCATCATATGCAGACCAGTGTTCAAATAATCAAAGACCATATGGCAGGGTTTTTTCATGACCACGTTTCCCCAGAGAGTGAGGTGAATTTCAGGATGACTTCACTCGTACATGACAACAATCTACTTTTTACTANTTACTAGTTGCTTTTTTTTAATTAGAAGTGAGAAAGACAACTGAAACCGACACTGAGCTACAAGCTGACTGCTCGTCATGTTTTTCATCACATAAACGTTGTTTCTAAATCCCAAATGAAACTTTGAGCTAGATATTGACTCAGAGATAAACCACATTATTCACACAGAAAATGATCTTTTTACCCTCAAGACAGTATATGTTGTGTATGCTTTCAAACAGTATGCTGAAAAAAGGGGAGAGATATGTACTTCAACTAGATAGGTGAGTGGCATTAGCTCGTCCCATTCACTGCACGTCAGCACCGGCTCCGTCGATTGTCCCAGCCCGTTCTGATGGGATCCAAGTGGACGACCTTGGGCGTCGTAAGCGGCCACTGCAAACACGTACAATTCGTCCGGTCGCAGATTGTCTATGCGGATCACGCATCGACCTTGGATACACATATTCTGCAACGGGAACCAAGGTGGGCGGGGGTGGGGAGGGGGAGGCAAGACCAAAAAATGGGGTCAATCTTGTTGCATGTTGAATGATCTTAGTGTTTCAGAAAGAGTCGGGTAATTTGGTTTAGATTGTGATACTAATTCAAATAGCCTGTGCTTAACGATCTAGAGATGTGCATTGTATTTCCAATTTGCAGGATTATCTTGTATTGCGAGATTAAATTATACTGAAATAATTAGGATGTTTCGGTGTTACGGTTGATTGCGATGTTCGCGCTACCACCTCTACTTAAATCAGCTGTTAGACATAATTGTGGTTGCAGGAGTTTATACCGAATGCACTCCATCAAAATGGAATGATTCATCTTATTTTTACAGTAAACCTTTTTGGATTACTTACATCAATTCATGGATTTCATTGCGGGCGTATTAAGTTTTTAAGTGGGTGTAGAATTTTATGGTTGCTCGTTTTCTCTGCTTTGAATTTTCGCGAGATCCATTGCTTCACACTTCTGGACAAGGATAAACAGATGGAGACATCAAATTTACATTAGTCGGTCAGTATTTCTGTAATCGTCTCTTCATAGATGATCGTCCGTTTGCCAGTTGCAATACTAAATCCCCTCATCCAATCACGGATGCCTTGTAAATCCAACAACAGCTTCGTTGTGCGCGAAAACTGATTACAAA